GCTACTGAAATTGGACACCTTCGACTAGGATTGGCTAAAAGTTTTATAGCTGAGGTTTAACATGCCCAAACACTGTTTTATAAAGAAAACAGACTAGAAAAAGGTTTAGAGTTTTATAAAGAAAACAGACTGGAAAAAGGTTTAGATACCAATCATAGATGGCAGGACCAGTGCTGAAGTGAAAGGAAATATCTTAAAACATTTTTGAAAAAGAGGGCACTAATTTACAGTCTAAAATGTATTTTAGGAATTTTTTTCATTAAATTCCTCTTTAAACAATATAATTTTGTACAAATAATTGAATGTCATGCTACTATTTACAAAAATAAAATCTGAAATCCGATAAAAGATAAGTTCTCTATCATTTTTTTCCAATTCACAAATGATTTTGCCATCACAATAAGACAAAATGGCCACGGCAAGTAATGGGTTAATAATAAAAAAAAACTGATATTTTGCATATGAAAGCATTGTAATGTTTATTAAAAATCTGCCAAATTTTGTTAACATTTGCTTACTAATTTAAAAGTTATAGCATGAAAACTATAGCAAGCATAAAATGGTTGTGAGGTCGGTCTCAGGGACCAAGCCAGTGCTGAAAGAGTTAATGGGATTACGGTCAAAAATATGTAAAACAGCATGGGTACTGAAATGATGAATTAATGCATTCTAATCAATTACAAGTTTACATTTTCCTATACTGAAAATGTACTTCTTGTAATACTTACCTCCTCTCACACTTTAGCTTTATCCCAATGAAAGATTCTCTTCTTTGCCTGTCTATGCATTGGTATGAATTGTACCTCACTTGTTCCCCCTCTTTATACCCCACTATATCACCTCTAGTGATTTTAATCTTGTGGCTCTCTCCACCTCTGTCAATGTGTCCTCTATACCCAATCTGTATATAAGCTCCCTGTTATTCTTTCTTATTTGCTTTTTGAGACTGGCAAGATTATCAGACCCAAACACTGGCTATAGTGGAGAAGTAGGGCAGAATAGTGTGAGAGGAGATAAGTATTATCAGAAATACATTTTTGGTATAAGAAAATGTAAGCTCAAACACACCTCCTCTCACACTCTAGCTAGAATCTCACATTGACTGAATAGAGAGGATAGTGAGGGCAAGATTCACACAGAAAGTGTCTGCATAGAAAAAAAAAGGTGTGCAATATTGAGATATAATAAAGTACACGAGTAGGGGTCCACACTACTTCTAGAACAGGTATGCTCTTTGCCTAGATAAAGTGAAATCTAAACATGGGTGGTAAAGGCCAACTAGCTACAGTCAACATTGTACACTATCATGAGATTCATCCAGGTCCCAACCACACAGACAAGGTTCCATATCTCACTGCTGGAGTTATAGAGTTATGGACTCGAAGCTAGATCCAAGGATTCTAAGGTATAGTGGCTAAGGCATGGAAACCACAATATGATATATTTGTATAATAGAAATATGATATGAGGGGAATTCAACCTGAAAGTTACAGGATCTTGCATATCAAGCCACTAGAATTACAAAGGGAAAGCAATCAACATCCAACAAGACAAATCTTCCCCCCAACCTGAAGAACCTCAGAATGCAACAAACCGAACTCGGAATTACAGAGCCAATTCACACCTCGCTCATGTAAGAGAGTCTTGGGGAGTGGAAAGCCAATCAGTATGAGAGACAGGGGAGGAGGAGATGTGGATTGAATGCCCAATCCCCTCCTGAGAAGTTGAATACTCTACTGATCTGTGGTGAATGTCTCCCATATAGACATGAACCCTCTGAGACTGAGATGATCCCCACTGGTAAGGTCAAACTCACCCTAGTGTTCCAATGGATTGTGGCAATGAAGCAGGAGGTCTGGAAATATGAAAAAGGGATGCAGTAAACAGCCTCAAATAGGAAATAGAGGGTCTAGAGTCCAAATAAGGATTCGCAAGGGAAAACCAAGGTATGCTAATCCAATAAACAAGAAGGACAAAGCATGGCAGTGCCCTCCCTCAAATGAGCTGCAAATCTCCTTGTATGTAATGCAATGTCTGGCAAAGGTGGAAGAACCAGGTAATTAAATGAACTAGTTTCTTCCAATAAAAAAAGTTAAGATTCATAAGCCACATGATAAATACTCAAAACATTACAAATATGGCATATCAGTTGTATAAAAAGGGTGCAAGAGGCAGGACGTCTATCCAACGTTCATGAGTAGCTGTCTGAGCAAAGGAAGGTGCTGGAAAAATAGTCCAAATTCTCACTAGCCACCCTTGATCTCTGAAAAACTCAGCCTCAGAGCCAATAGGAAAAAAAACATCAGACTGCATGTAAGACTCTGCCTCTCTGCATATAAGCAACTGTATGTCTTCCACAGAAGATACTCCTCCTGCAATGCCTGGGTAACATTAGAATCATGAAGTGGTAGAGGAAGGGCATCAGGAAAAACAGCTCCAAAATTTATTTTCTCGTAAAATCAAGAAAATAAACAATCAGCTCAAGCCCCATGAAAAAGATCTAAAATAATTCAATAGATATCGTTGCAAATGTAGTAATAGTGCTGAAGAGAAAGCTCCAGTAAACATGTAAGACCATCTTTGTAATTTTTCTGTTTTATGGCATTCTTGTTAGACTAGTATATTAAATTAGCTACATTAATTACTGGGTTAATTTTCAGTACTGATCTAATGAGGTAGCTTCTTTTCATCAGAAGTTACTGATTAATATAATAGTTTTAACTGTTTACTACCTGCAGTCTGCAGGAATAGCAAACTAATGGTTTTGGATTTTTTTAATGTTGACTATACTTTAAGTCAATAATACTTAAAGACAAATTAAGACAAAAACCTCCTATCCTCAGTTTTTAATCTGTAACTAATTTTTCTATTTTTCATATAATCAATTTTGAAAGCTTTCTCTGACTTTTCTGGAGAATCTATTATAATTCTGATTCATGTTAATGGACCCATATATTGATGCATAACATTTTGCCAAATCAAAAGCTCAGTCTTAGAACTTTACTCTTCAGAAGTCTTTCTCTGAAAAATATTACCTATAAATATATATATGTTTATTTTGTATATAATTAGCTATTTCAACTATTTTTACATGCAAACAAATACAAGTGAGAGCCTTGAAATTATTTTCTTCATTTGTTAAACTTGGAGAAGCTAGGGATAGCGATTTCCACCCGGCAAAGTGATGTTCAGCAGTTACTTGATCAAATTGTAGTAGATTTCTGTTTCCAACAAGCTAACTTGTTTTGCCTTTTGTGGTTTTTGAGGCAACTGACTTTACTGATGCTCACTCAATATCAAAAGCAAAGTCTGAAGAATAAGTTTTCAGAATAAAAAATATTTTGTGGAATACTAAAAAGTTGTTGGTCTTTTTTAATAATGCATTTATCTTTTTCTTAAACTATACAAATTTTAGAATATTGCAGACATGAAATTGTGGATTATGATCATCTGACAATTAAATTAGTAATAACCTTAACTGAAAGCTATCTTTTAATTATAAAGTAAACGAAAACATCAGAAATTATAATGTTTACGTTTACCTACTTACCAATCAATGATCCTAGCATCATATGGAACATGACTTGGTTGAATCTGGAAAACTTCTTGATCTGTAACAGAGGCCTGTGAAGTTTCCTGAGTAAAACAATGAAATGTTACATTGAGTTTACAGTTTAAAAACTATAACTTTGCTTTAAAAGATTATAAAACGTACTTGTTTAAAAGAACTATTTTATATTATATGCTACAATAAAATTACATTTATAATGGTACACATTTTTTTACAATTAAAAGCATATGTAATTACCAAAACTTAGACACACTTCTATGATAATTTTCTTTTTCTTTTAAATATTATTAAATAAATCAGTTTAAATTATTGATGATAATAAAAAGTATTTCTATGAATATTATGTTAGTAAACTGAACACACACACACACACATAAACAGGTGTTCAAAATCCATGCAAGCATGAAGCTTAAAAAAGTAGCTGCCAAGATGCAGTATACACAAAAAATATTAAATTATGCAACGAATAAGAATGAAACCAAGAATTTAAAATAAGTTAGCTATATACTCCACAGTTTCACAGAAAATATACACTGCAGTGTCATTATCATTAAACATGAATATTTTCTTCACTATAAGGCTGCTCACAAAATCAAACATGATGATAACCCAGCAAAAAGCTTCCAGTTGCAACAGAAATGTAAATAATGCTGATCCATTATTAATGACATACTGTTTAAATAATGAAACAAATTATGTGCATTAAAATCATGAAGCTAGCTACAACAGTTATGATAACTTATGGGAATCCAGTGAACAAGAATTCTTAATAGGTTCAGATAAGCAATTTGTATCATTAGCCTAGATTGGGTATATTCATTATCACAGATGATTCACACATGTAGTATCTCTCCAGCACCCAGTTAAAGTTTAAACCAGCATGCAAAAACAGGATATTCTTTTAAGTTTCTTATCATATATATATTTTTTTTGTTTAATTTCTGATTATGATATGTTATTATTATCATAGACATAGATCTAAAATTTAATAGTATATAAAATAAATGTGAAGATTCTCAAAAAAATTCGTGTCAACCAACTAGTTATATCTCTTAAGGGCATACAAACTACAAATCAAACATTATTCTCAAATTGTCAACACTCTATAAATATATTTTACTGTACATATTCAATTTTGATGGGAAAATGCACAATGGTCTAAGTAATATTAAACTGAATGAAGAATGTGCCCAAATGAATTGGCCTGACCTCAACTTAAACGTGAAAGTTTGTATAACTTTAACTCACTCCTTAAACACATTAATGCATGTGCTCATACACAAACAAAAATACACTGATGCACATTCTCCAAAATATAAATGAAACCATACACAATGAAATTTAGAAATAGAAAATAAAGTACTATATGAATAAGAAAAACAATGTTTTAAAAAGTTTAGAAATTCAAATTTATCTTTGTTAAAAAAAAAGACATACTCCAAGCCACAAAACAATTGTGTCAAATATGACAAAGTGATCTGTAATCTTTAATAGTTCTCTTAGTAGTGTAATACTTATCTATTCAATTTGTAACACATTTTTCTTTTATGTGTACACAAGTTTTCAAAAGCCAAAGATGAAATTAATACAAACATTAATTCTTGTAAGAGTTAGTTTATCAAATCTACATAAATGTCATCACATGCTAATGTACTTCTAACTTAATAGTAGGTAAATATACAATACTGCGTAATCTAAAATAAAGTTTAGATCCACTATTACAGAACAACACCAAATATATATGGATATAAGTTAATACTTCACACTATCAGAACTTAATCCACACAAATTAAGTGTTGTTCCATAATAGTAGATCTGAGCTTTATTTCTAACTTGCTGAAAAATATTATAAAGTCTTCATTCACAAATTATTTATCAATTTCTGCTTTTCAGCTCATGTCTGCTGCTAGAGCCAAAACACTTTTCAGCATACTGCAGAAGGAACTTGGGAAAATACATACCAATCAAACCCAAATTAGGAAAATGAAGTAACAAGTTAGTATTTGAAAACGCTACGAAGTCTACGTCATCGAGATGTTAAAATGTTACAACAACAGTTATACAAGGAAGATGACCAAATATCTTTGACAAGTTTGAGTGTAATCTTTAGTTTTCCAACTCAAAATAATGAATTAATTTGCTTTCAAGCTCAAAAGATATATTAACCAACTACATAAATTTTTATCAATTCTAGTGCAATAAACTCAAAAGCAAGACAATCCATAATATTTTTGGAAAACATGTTAGAAATGTTATCGTTCTTTTAACTAGAAATTGGGGGAGGGGGGATAAATCAAGCCAAGATGCCCACATCATCCACTATTTTTTTTTTTTTTTAGGTACCTTGTCTGAAGAATTCCTTGGTGAAGTATGCAATAGCTGATAGCCTTGGGTTGTCTTGTTGTTCATTTGGTGAACATCTGTTCTCTGGTTAGCATTGATAGCTGGAGTAATTGGAATTGGATGAACTGGACACATGATACCAGATTCTGAATTACCAAGATTTGTATCACAGCTATGGTCTTGATCCAAAATAAATAATTTTGTTGAATTGTCATGACAGTCACGCTGGTTTTTTCTATTTTTGGTAAGAGAGGACTCTGAAGCTCCAAAAGACTGAGAACGTTCTCGTAAAGAAGCCTCTGAAGAGAGGGCAAGAGGAAAATTTTTGAAAACATCACCCACAGAGGGCCACTTATCTCGTTGTTGATTAGTTAATGGAGACAATTCCATTTCAAAGTTTGGGAGAGATGCCTTATTTTGTTCTTGAAAAGTTTTACACTTGATATGCGCTTCAGAAAATGTAATAAGGTCACCATCTGGAGAAGAATGATTTACCTGGCCAGTCCAACCACAGGGATGGGGGAAATTGTTATGACTCCAATGATTTTGACATGTCGCACTCACAGAGTTTTGACTGTAAACTGAATTATAGTGAGAAACACAGGTTGTATCTTGTGATCTAATACCCCAAGTGTTTAAAGATAAATATTCTGGTTTAGTTTGTGGTGCAAAACATGGGGGTTGAATTACCATGCCACCAGCTGATGACACTAATGGTTGGTCAGCAAACGATACAGAATATTCAGCATTTGGTAACACTTTGATATAGGTGTTTTGCTGTAAAAATGCCTCTATGACTGGTAAAGCACCAGGGACAGTCATCAATAATACATGACCTGGTGTAGTGCTTGAAATGGTTGACCCATAAGAAGGAAGAGCCCCTGATACCAACACGGGACTAACAAGAGATGACAAAGGCTGAGTGGGAATAGAAATAGTTGGTACACATGGATATGTTTTTGGTACTTGGACTTGAGAAGTTGTAATTGGTTGAATATATTCTGCTTTCGCTAAGGGCGCTTTACCTACAGAGGTGGAAGGTAAGGTGACAGAGAGTGACACCAGTGAGTGCATCTGTTGATATGCAAGTGGCAGTTGTTGTCCTACCATACCACTAGGTACTTGTCCTGTTTGTGATGGTGATATCTCTGAGAAGTTGGGCTGAGAACAAAATGGTAAATCTTTTAAAACTGAGCAAGGCATTATTACATTGCACAAACTTTTAACTTTCAAACATTACATTTCTTGTCAACTGATTGGGGTTTCAGCAGCACTGTCCAACTAAAACCATATGTGCCATTTTGCTTTTCAGATAAGACCACTGAGTTGGAGAGTGCTGTACTATACTGTGACACAAGAACCAACAGCAAACATTTATTTGGTAACTATATAAAAATTATGACTTTTACTTTACAGTTGATTGATGTGTGATTCTAGCTTCAAACCATACATAGCAGTTAACTTCTAAAACAAAAGTGTACCAGTTTCTTACTTTCACCAATTACTATTTAAAAAATACTTTCTTCTGAATATATAATGCCAGAATGTAGAATTTATGAGCCATGACAAGTACTATACTTAATCCTGATATACATATATAAGTACTATTAATAACTGCTTTATCCACACAATCTCTCTAAAAAATACAAAGATTTGTATGTACCCAGCAGCAATAATCTTGTTGATATACAAGATCAATCAAAATTGTCTGTGATAGTGACCAAAAGTGGCATTAAAAATAAGTTGTTTAAAAATTCACCATGAACAGTGATTCAAAACTTAATAGACAAACTGTTTGTACCTATGAAAAAATACAATGGCATGCCAGTTGAGAACATTCTTATTGACATTTTTTCTAATAAAAGTGAACAAAACATTATTATTTTTCCAACCACATCAGTCAACATGACTGTTCTAAATAACTTAGCAAACTGTGACAGTACAAGTTTCACAAGCTTGTCCATTCAGCCTAAAGCAAAATAAAAAAAAAAGAAGAGAGAGAGAGAGAGAGTAGAAAAACAAATCTATATTTACAGCCAAATGATTTAATAACTTAATGAACAATAACATTAAAAATAAAAGCCAAGAAATAGTGTATTAATATGTATCTAATTGCCCAAGACCAAAAATATGATGACATATAACATCTCTGGTATTACCATTTGGCTTCAAATTTTATCTAAACTTTATTCCAATAATAATTAAAAACAATAAATGAAGAAACAGATGTAAAATAAGAGATAATTTGGTTATACAGTTATCCACAAAGTTTCAGTTTGAAAACAGTGTTTACACTTGAGAAAGGTAATTATATTGACGAATATAATTCATTAACATTGTTAAATGTTTTCCGTTACAGCTAATGTGGGATAAATTAGCTCAACATCGGGTTTCTTCTAATAAAAGACAAGCAATTCTGTATTTTATTTTTGCTTAAAAGCTTAAAACATAAAATCAAATTTACATGAAAAAAAAAAACTTGCTTATTAATTAGAATTGTTTTGGAATAATTAATAAAATTTTTAGAATCAAGAATGGCTACAACACATTACTTTAAATTGCCTAGAAACCAAAACTTTAGCCCTGAATGTATTGCAATAACTGAGTAGGAAAATGACTAACTTGTCATTAGATTTCTAATCAAAATGAGAAAATTATTTGCAAGACTAAAATTGCTATGCTAAAAATTTTAAAAAGGTTTGTAGAATTCATAACCAGTGCAATAACATTACTCTTAAATGGCTTAAAATTTAGACATAAAATTTATATCATCAGCTTCTGTGTATAAATATACAAGTTATATTATCAAGTTTCAAATCAACAGATAGACAAATTAACAAGTTTCTTATTTTATACAAAACTAGCATTGTGGTTCTACTGGGGAAAAAATACAGCCAACCAGTAATTTTTTTAAAAGAGTCAATTACAGCCAACGACACCTACCTGTTGTGCTTGGTACACATAAGCCTGATGAGGATAAGATACATTTACATTAGAGCATTCTGGTGGTGGAACTTGGCAAGTACGATCTGGATGACTATCAGCTGTAAGTGAAAAAAAATTCAAGAAAGAAATTTAATTAAAGTACAAAACATTTAGCATTCTACAACACAAGTTTAGTTCACAGAATTAAGTTTTTGATAACTTTTTACATATACTTATTTTATTTCATTATATAATTTCAGTTCAGTTTTATCTTCTAATCACATCTATACAATTTTTTTTCTGGTTTTCCAAGCATGACCTTCTGTTTCTGACAAGTAAATTCATAAAGTTGAAAAAAAAATCACAAAATATTTGACTCTTAATATCAAGTACAAAAAGGTAGTTAGAATACAACATGACTACTATGTCTTCCCTGAAAAGATTTTGTAGATTATACATCTTCACAAAATAATCAAATAACAAGGATAAAAAAAACAAGAACACACTAAAAATGACCTTTGAATTTATGTTAGCGGGTCTTGTTTGTACTTTGATAACAGACTTCATACTGTTTAAGGGAATGTTCAATAGCTGAGAGAGAGATGACCTACTTTAAAAAAAACAAAAAAACTTTCCCAAAATAACTATCATTTCGACCCTGGCACTGATCTCTTCAAATAATAAACTACCTGATCAATAATTCTAATTTATCTATTTGCTCTAAACAAGTAGCAGAGATGTTACAATAGTACGGTACCTTACAAAATTACGGACCATTTCTGGGAAAAGAAATGAAAAGCACATTTTAGTTCTGAAGTAATGACAAATTATTTTACTTTAGTAATAACAAATAAATAAAACAGATAAAAAAATGACATATGTACATTTTAATAAAGTTTTTACACATGATCACAAAGGTTAATCAGCCTGTTTAGATTAACAACAAAGAGTAATTTTCAACAGATTATGCGACTTAAAACATTTTACACTGTACATTAAGTCCACTTGAAAAAATAAGGAAAAAGCATTTCATTTACTTTGTCTATTCCTTTATCCAAGAAGTATAGCAAAGGTTTACATTAACATATTAATTGTCTTAATTCTGATTATGGATTAAATTATTTTAAAAATAAAAATGTTCAATAATTATAAAATTCAGTTTATGAATAATTGCTAAATACATAAAAAAAATAGTTTATAAGTCATAAAAGCAAGCTTTATATAACAAAAAGTACTCGTTTAAAAAAGTTTCATATATAGCATCTTTCAAAACATGAACAATTTAAAAAACATTATTAACAATTTATTAATTAAGTTCATAAATTTATCACAGGGTTACAGTATATTATATTTAACTACTAAGGTATAATACTTTTATGATTTCCTTGAATAAAAGTTACAACATACAGTTTATCTGTTAGTACTTCTACAAGGTTAAAAATTAAGTGATAAAATATACATACTTTCTAGGTGCATTTGTGTGAATTTACACTGAAATTCTTGTTTAAACATACATGTATAAACACAATAAAATTGTACAGACAAACATTATATTCAATGTTTAGAATCTAATATGTCTTCAACAATAAATAACAGTATAAAAAAATGGAGATCATATAATTCAAATACTTAAAGTATGAAACATCTACTACTTTTCTGTTGCAGGTAGTTCTAAAATTATGCTGATTAGCATCTTTCACGAACTTGTAGAAAAATTGTTCCATACCAAATAATCAGCTCTTTCTATTTATGAAAATGTAAAGCACTTTCATCTCTACAAATAAATTAACAGCACAACTACTCTAGTATGAACATCAGTCGTAATCAAACACTGTATAATTCTAGCAGACTACACTACTATACAAGATTCTACTTTATATTAAGTATTGTGCTTTTATTACAACAGTGTAGTAAAATTACTGTATAAGATCATAAATAGGACTGTAACTGATCACACAATATCAGTAGATCTTGGACATTATTATGAAGATTTTAAACACTCTAGTCCTGTTGGCTTATTATTATATTCTTACAAGTAGAAGTAAAAAAACTTAAAATGATTTTAAGTCTATTCCCTTTTGTTTATTAGAGAAACACACAAAAACTAATAAAGTTTAACTATTACTTAATTCTTAATTCAATACCTTTCAACTTGATATATGTGAATAGATCAAACAGAAGAAAATTATGAATTGTATGCATGTGCTGATGCAACAATGCATTCTGATTTTTATCAGTAAGAATGTGAGAACAGTATACTTATTAGCTACATACATCATTAGGTTTATTTTTAGTTCCATGTAGGTAGCTTGCCCAGATCAGAATAATTTATTTTTGTATATACAAAGTTCACTTGTCAAGGAATATTCTAATTTAGGATTTATTTCTCATTTGCAAAAAACTGGAAACTTAAAAATACAGGTTTACTTAACATTTGTTAACAGTGATAGTTTTATTAAAATATAAATCTATCAAAAGCATTTCATACAAAATTGTAAGTCTTCAGCTGGCTGACATATTTAGTTTCTGAACTATTGGTTAATTTCATTTTATTTCAACATAGCTAAAGCACCTTCACCACATATTGCAGCTTTTAACCCAACTAATAAGCTCAAAAAATTTCACTTGTGTTATTAATTAAAAATGGAAGTTATTGAAATACGGTCTCTTAGAAAATATATCTGATAGTACTAGTTTGACTGTATAAATAATGTAATAATTTGGTGTAACAATGAAATGTATTTATAAGATGAACAACAATAAACCTACATACCATATGGTAATGTGATATCTCATTATCATATAGTCTTATTTGTATTTTTACTTGTGTAGGATTATGCTAGGAGACTTGTATATATTTAACACAAGCTACATGTTTCGACAGAGCAATCTTCAGGTATCTGAAGAAAACAGACCAAATTCGATGACGAGGAACCCACTTTGAGACTAATAATGGCTGGAGACGGCTTGAACGGGTAATGAAGAAAAACCCATTCAAGCCATCTCCAGCCATTATAAAACAGACCAAAGCTCTGTCAAAACCTACACTATGTATTAAAATTTTTCATTATGCTTACGAATCGTTGTGTCTTATATATACAAATCGTATAGTCTTACTCAAGCCTTTATCAACCATTCTTTTACTTAAGTACGGAAGCACATTATACTAATATAATATTAAGTTGGCAACAAACTACTTATAAGCATAATGAAGTGATTTATTTTACATGTTCTTCAGGTACCTAAAAAAGATAGACCAGTGTTCTGTCAAAACATGTAGTATGTTCTCCAAAAAATAAAATGACTTCATTATACTTAAAAATCATTGTTTCCAACCTATTATTAACCACTCTGTTTAACCTATACTTTAGAGTTGTCACTAGGAGTATATAAATATCAAAATTACCATGTATTTCACCAGTTTGGTCATAAGCCAAAACTTTTGTGAACAGCTTATTAAAAATTACGAGCATAAGATTAATTATAGCAGAAGAACACTAGTTATGTAAAAAATTCTTTTCAACAGTATCTTTGCATTTGTTGACAAAAATTACATGCATAAAACAACTTCAGTATCAACTTAAGGTATATAAACAGAATTGAAAAACAACTTGTGTAAAAACAAAAAACAAAAGTTTAAATATAGCTTTAGAGTGTAGCAACTAGAAAATGCCCATTCAAACTGGTTAAATAGCACAAATTCTTGACTTTTCCACCACTGTTGTAAGCCAGTTTAGTTAATGGGGCAAACAGAAAGAAAACTTGTTTAGACTGAGCTGATCAGCTAAAGATAACAGAATTTAAAGATTTTAACTTAATTATCACAATAAAACACTTCATCACCCAAAAGAGACTTTCTGTATTAATCCTTAAAAAGTATTGACACAGTAGGTTATTATACTACTAAAAGGGGGTTTTATAGAACAATTTCTAGATTACAAAAACATAGAATTATTAAGCAGTATTCTTAAGCCAAACAGTAGACCCACAGTCCTTTATTAATGCCTGTGCACTTCTCTGAGAGGAAGAATTTTGCTGTAAACAGTAGTTACATTACTGTGACTAGCATACGGTTTATGCTAAATATTAATTTGTTTTTTTCATGTTTACTAACATATAACCACAGATGATCTTTCTGAACTAACACACGTACAAGAGATAATCATAGTAACATAGTAAGCAAGGAGATGCCAATCATACCATTTAATTGATTTAAAGGACATTAAGGATTTTGATGTGGTTTCAATAGTTACACGCATGTCGGACAAAAATAAGGCAACACTTCGATTTATTGGAATCAACATTTATCATATGACCAAATATAAAAAAATTCATTAGCTGAAATATGACAGCAAGAAATGACATTTTTAGCTAACCAGAACCAATAAAAATGTCAATACAGTAAAAATTACTTGTAACATTTCCAAGAATCACAAAACTTGTGTAAAAACATTAACAAAATGAATATTTATAATAGCACATGAATGGAAATATAATAGAATGCATTTACCTAACTTCCACCATGAAGGTACCTGCCATAACATGAAAGGATTAGCCCAAGATTGGTAAGTTGCCATTTCAGCAGTCTCTGTTTCTCAGGTAACAGAGATGTCTTTATCTTTAGCTTTACTTAAAGAAGAAGGTTCTATGCAGTAACAACTTGCTACTTAAGTTCCACTAAAGTGACTGAACAATAGTCTTACTCATGCCTTTATTAACCACTCTTTTTACTTAAGTATGGAAGCACATTATACTAATATAATATAATATTCTAATATAGTTTGCTATCTAAGTTCCACTAAAGTGGCTGAACACACACTAATAGTGAAGAATGTACCCATGCATTCATCTTTAAACCAATTGTTTCAAGCACCAGGACTGCTAAGTAGTCCAAAATCCCTGATAAGTATATGATGTACCTTTGATTCATTAACAAAACCCAAATTCAGCACCAGGTTAAGGCTAAAGATAACATTAATCCAGATTTAGGTCAAAATAAGGCCATTTCAGCTCCCTCCCCAATCACAAGTCATAGAAAAACTGAGAAATGAGATTACAATAAACAGGTACATTTGATAAATTTTTCAATATATAATACTTAAGATTATCAATATACAGTCATTTTAATGACAAAATATCTATCATATTCAGATGTTTACAAGCACAACAATGACATAACATGTCAGATGCTGAAATCTTGCATCAAACATCAACACATAAATGTACAACTTTTCAGTTCACCGAGTTGTCGAATGTTACCCAATTCTATGTCAACATTGAAAGAACCTCAAATACATTAAGAATCACTTAAATACTGAAATTTATATTATATATATTTGTTCTATAAATATGTAAAATTTATGGTAACAAAAGTTAAAATGACTTTAGCTCACACATATTGCTTTCCTGATTTTTTTAAAATAAAAGGCAAATTAGAAATTATCTTTGAAATTAAAATAAATGAGTAAAATATCAATTCACTTCAAGATAATTTAGTATGCAAGAATACAAATATGCACCTAACAATAAAATGTAATCACAAAAAATACAAGAAAAAATCAAACACATAAGAAATAAAAATCTAAACCTAGTAGCCTATATCACTTATGCTAATGTACGTATTACTGATAACTTAATAGTAAAACCTACAATTTCACATTGAAATATTACATATTATCTAATTTAACCTTTTTCAAAAACTCAGTTTATAATTTGGATTAGTTTCTGCACACACATTAAAAACAAATATTTTGTATCAAATATTGAAAATACTTTTTATTTCACACAAACCTAACCAGAATGTTTCCATTAATTTTGTGTAAAAAATTTTTTGTTGTTACTCTACCTGCCAAAAACAAGCAAGCATTTGCTGGAAAACCATTTGGCCATTATAATGTAATATACATATTTTTGTGTAAACAAAATGACTGCTTCTTCTGAAGCCACTTTATGCAACACAGTTTTAAGAAATGTTAAAATGCACTTTTCAAAAGTACACAACAGTCACCGATTTCTTAGTACTTAACAGAGCTAATGTTCTGAAAGACTTATATGAATATGATCCAAGTTATACAATCGACTCACAATTTTAGGATTAAAAAAGGAAAAAGCATGAGAAGACAAGCTTACCAAGAGTTTCTACGTGTGATGTTATTCTGCTTGAAAGATAATCTTCAGAGTTTCCATGGATATGTTGTTGTTTCAAGGTCTCTATTTCACAACCTTCTTTATTTTTTGACTGTTGTAGTTGTGTTGTTGATTGCAGTCTGGTGCTAGAAGCAAAGTCCTGGGATGGTTGTAAAGAAGCAGAATGCTCCTGGATCTGAGTTTGCTGAGACTGATGTTGAATTTGCTGCTGGTTAACTTCAGATTGTTTTGATTGACTCGAGGACTGAATCGTATGAAGTTTCTGTGATTGAAAATTCTGTAGCTGTTGAGGATACATCTGTTGTAACTGTGGATGTTGAGCCTGGCTCTGCTGCTTAACTGATTGTTCAGGAAGTCCTTGCTGCACATATTTTTGAGGAAGCCCATGTTGCATTTGTGGTAACTGAGGTTGACCTGGTTGTAATGGTGGTTGATGAGAAAGTACATTCTGAACTTGTGGTTGTTGGGGAAGAACATTCTGAACGTGTGGTTGTTGGGGAAGAACATTCTGAACCTGTGGTTGTTGGGGAAGAACATTCTGAACCTGTGGTTGATGGGGAAGAACATTCTGAACCTGAGGTTGTTGGAGAACATTTTGAACCTGTGGTTGAGGAAGTATATTTTGAACTTGTGACTGTTGTGCATATCCTTGTTGAAACTGAGTGTGTTGAGGAAGTCCCATTTGTACTTGTGGTTGTTGAGCATGCCCTTGTTGTACCTGTGGTTGCTGAGGTTGTTGGCCATGCCCTTGTTGCACCTGCTGTGTCTGTTGTTGAAAAGTTCCTTGTTGGGACTGCTGTGAAGCCTGTTGCATCTGTTCTGATTGGGAATGTTGAAGATGCTGTCGTTCCCTTTTCAAACATGATATCTGATTACGTATTACCAAAGCCACAATTCTCATGTCCTCCTCCATGATGATCCCTGTCATTTGCTGCAATGTGTAATTTTCACTAAAGTTTTCTTCCAAACTGACATGTAAAATCCAAATTTACAGTACTCTTAATTAGCAAACATTACTAAAACTACTATGTTAACTTCCCTCATAATTATTCCAGTGGCTTTGCATTACTCAATAATACTTGTAATTACAAAATAAAACAGATAAAATATTTATCATTTTCAATTAGTGATTGAAGTAAATTCAGCAAAAATTCAAACAATAACTTTTACTAGTTTTCAACATTACCCAAAACTCGATGTTAAATTTTTTCCAATCTACTTATTTACCAAACTCAACACAAAGGTGATGGAGTTAAGCAACATTAAATGCAATAGCATGGCTGCAGATATTCTTAATTTTGGTTTTTTAATTAAAATGGTCAGACCAAAAAAGGAAACATTTCCCATCTGATGGTCAAATATAACTTTCAAACTCCTCTCAAATAAAGTTGTCTTTGGTGAAACATCAATTTCTAGCTTCATTTCACAACTGAAATGTAAATGTTAAGAGGCTTGCTCAGAATAATATTGTCTCAATGCCTGGATACTACTACAATTAGTGAGTAAAATCCCATTTATATAATGAAGACAAACAGCCAGTATGCAGTGAAAATTATTTATTTAACCTTACGAATTTATCAAGACGTAGATACTGTACCGAACATGAGCCAAGTCTTAATAGAACAAAAAGTTGATATAATTCAAAATAATAAATTTATTGTCTGACAGAATATAAAAATAGTGAAGAAAGTACTAATTTAAAAGCAAAAACAAAAAATAAGTAACGCAAACATTCGTATCTGATAAATATGTAGAGATAAGTTATAAATGTAATTATTAAACATGTTTGGACTGCAGTGTGCATTATGATACTTAGTTTCAATTCATTATTAATCAAAAGAAGTCGAAACTTTCATTGACTATGTTAAATGCTCTTTAAATATGCAATCTAGTACTTTAAAATATCAAATGATTAGTGACCTCATAGTATAGGTGGCATACTCTACACAAAGTGCAAAAGCATTAAACTCTTGCAGCATGGGCTCAGTCCCTGGCACCAACCATTTTGTGCTTGTTATAGCTTTCATGCTATTATTTTTAAATTAGTAAGCAAATGTTAAAGAAAATTGGCAGATTATCAGTAAACATTACAATGCTTTCATATCTATCATGCAAAGTAAAATTCATTTTAAGATTGAAAATACTTTTATCCATCAGAAATTTTTAAAATTTCACATGCAAACTCCTTATAATGTCCAGATAGTTATTAAACGTTTTTTAACAAAAAACTCTGTTTTTTACTTGAATTTTCACTAACGATTATCTGTATGCGTTTGGTCGATTTGACCAATCTCATAACAACATTAAAAAAATTAGGAAATAAATACAAGTTATGTCTTTTTCATTTTAGAATGACTACATATTATAATACGAAAGCATAAATGTTTGGACTAAATAGCTTAAATCGCATAACATTATACATTTTTATATATTTATTATTTTTAATATATTGACTTTTCAGCCGTGCCTGGCTAAAAATACAGAAGTTACAATGACACGGTGCACGTGTACTCATTTTAACCCTATCCAATAACATAAAACTGACCTTTGGTCTGTACAAAGTAACTTGTCTTGGCTGTGTGTTAGTACACTAGCATTTTGTAAAATATAGTCACATTTTAATTATTCTACATTATATATATGTACATACATTATTGCTATTTTGAAAAACTTATTTTTCTTAAAACATAGAACAGTAACTAAAGAAAAGCAAGCAATTATTTCTTCTAGTTGCTGCTTGATGTAGGTTGCTAAGCCTTTAAAAAATTTGCACGTGGAGGATATGAAACAAAATATTTATTTTTAGGTTTTATATATACATTTGAATAACTAAAAATCATAAATTATTACATTAATACCACAGAATTTCACTATAATTTAGCAAGCTTTGTAACTAAGATGTGTTTTAGTCTAAAAAAATATGAAATTTCAAGTATATTAAAGACACACCCTACCTCATTGAAATATTGGTTCAAAAGAAAGAAATGGTGCCAAGCCTGTTAAAATGGCTGAAAAAGCCACTAGGGCTCATTCTGAGCTTCCAATTGGTTATTCATGTCATATATAGAAGTAAGTGTATATAAGGGAGCATTTGCATAAATGGAAAGAAATGAGCAGAGTGCCACTGTGTTTGATTTATTACATGAGCAATATCTTAGCAAAATGAAAAGATAAGAGGCTCATATTTTATATTTTAGCTTGTCAATATCAGTAATTTGAGTTTCTAATTCGTACAAAACTATAGATTTAGTATTTTTACTTCACAAACATCTAATTTGAACCAGTGCTACATTCAACATACCACGTGACACAAAAATTGATGTTTATCTGTGTTTTTTTAATGTTTGCTTTTAAATTAAGAAATTGAGTAATATATAGTACTAAAATTTGAATTATAATCTACAGTTTGATACCAAAGTTATTGACATACATTCATAAAATAGTACTTCAATAAAATTTTGAATGAGAGTCAACAAACGAGATAACTTGGCCTTTCACCCATGACCCTTCTCGAAAGGGTTAAAGTGATACTAGACCACCGTGACCCTGTTGGGTCAACCACTATTCAGAGGTTATGAAGAATTCAAGCTAATTTCAATATTGCACCGAAATGAAGGTTTATTTTGAGATAATTTAATATTTTAATCCATTCGTGTTATTCATAATTCAAGAAAAGATATTTGATTGTTTATTGGGAGTAAAAGAAAAGACCATTTCATTTTTCAAAACAGTGACGTAAGATCGCGAATGGTAGTGTGAATGATTTTTTACTGAGAAAATAAGCAAACAAACAATCTCAGAGTTTTAGTAGTATATAGATAGATTCTTCAAGATCTTGTTTTTGTCATCTTATGCCTTTTAATGAAGATGGGAACACTGACAGGGAAATAATATAATAGCCAATGCTCTGCGAGAGGTTTTAGTTTATAAAATTTTGTTGTTGTTCTCGACCTGATTTTTATTTTATTACCTCATCTCCATAGTTACTATTTGCAAATAGTCAATAATATTGTAGGTCCATTTTATTGTTTTTCTTTCTATGTGCCGTTATAACACATTTTCATCTCATCATTTAATTTCTGTTGTGCATATATTGTTGTATAGAAGATATTTTAAAGTGATTCATCAGGTGGAAAACAAATAGATAAATAGATAAGCCGATATGTGGCGCCATCTAGTGTACATAAATTCATCTATACATTTTCATAAAAGTGACCCCAAAAATAGGGCTAACTCGGTAACCCGTGGCCCAATTTTAACGAAACTTGTTTTATTCTGTTTCTATTCTCATCTCATTACAAATATGGTGCTATTGTGTGCTGTTTTTGCTGTATTTAGTTACAGACAAGCAAACAAACAAACAATCTCAGAGTTTTAGTAGTATATAGATATTTGTTATAAATGTATCAAACTTTTGTAAGTGAATAATAATTTAGACTAGTTTTAGTGCATTCATAAAGGAAATAACTGAGTTATTGCACTGAACTAAATAATTTTTGCTCTCATTTATATTGGATGCATAAACTACATTTTTAATTATTCTGTTTCAAAGTCAGTCATATCTACTCTTTGTCATATTTTTAAATTTCTGATAATTATACCTCAGTGAACACTTGGTGGAGATTTTTTGTATACATATATGTTTGTTGGTTTTATGAGTATACAAACTCGGTTGATTTCTAGTCATGAAGCTATCACCTGGTAGTACAGGCTAATAAAAATTACAAAAAATGATTCATGGTTTCATAAGTATGCATGATTAATCTAAATTTTGGTACATAAAATCTGCTACAGAAGAAATCTTAAATTGCCAAAAGTTCCACAGGTCTTCAGTAAGTAAAAGTTTAAATGAATATCTGTTAATGATTCCTGACTTCGTGATTCTGTAAATGCATCTCTTTTAAGTGGATTCTATTTTTTTTAAACTTACATTTTAATATTGTAAAGAGGAGATATTGTAGTTCTGTAATTCCTCAGTGGAGAAAAAAATAACTGTAATTGTTGTTAGCTAAATGAATGTAAACAATAAACCACATTTTGGGGATAAAATATTAATACAAAGACTTGGAAACTGGTTTCGACACTTTCATGTGTCTTCTTCAGCCTAACACAGTCTTCTGTGTTATTGTGAAATAGCCTTGAAGACACATGTACTTAGAAAACAGTTCAGTTTTATGTTACGTTCAAAGGTATTTAATAATGCAGCTTTCAACAATTCTTCATTTTATGTAATTTTTGGTGTTATATATCATGTTGTCTGATTTCTAGTTCAGAGAGTGGCCAAAAGTTTCTTGTATTGGGAAATATTTCATTATTTATATTTCATTTTGTTCTATTGTTCTTGTGTTTAAATTTCTTCCTGTTTCACAACAAACTTTTTTTATGTGATTGGCATGAAATAATATGAAGCCCTATATTTTATCTTGTGTGGTTTTGTTAGAAGTCAGGTGCTTGTAATTGACAAGAAAATCATTTTGCTTTAGGCTTCTCTCTATAGATTCAAATTTTGTGCTCAGTTCAAGTAAAGTAGTTCCATCTTGTTCTTATTTGTTCCTTAATTTAAAAAAAAATATTTTCTGACTTTTAGATGATAATTTTTGATGAATTGAACTGGACAATCCTTCAAAGTGGACATGATGTATTGATTTTCTTGATTTAATGTCATAGAGGTTGCATTAGGTGTTTTACCAATTTTGTGGTGGCATGTGAAAAATTTACAAAACTGACAGGGTTTGTTTGTTTTTGGAAGATAGAGTGAGTATTTTACACTAATTGTTAATTTTTGGGACAGAAATTTGTAATAAAGCTTTAAACTTTGTTAAGTCAGTTTATGTAGTTTTTAACTAAGCATTAAAGTTTTTATTTGTTTAGAGAGAATGCTAACAATGTGTTTGGTAGGAATGTGGGCCAAGAACAAAAGCTGCACAATAT